TGGCATGAAGTGTACAAAGTAATGCAAGGCAAGGGTCTGAATCTAAGACTACTCTATCCAGCAACGCTATCATTCAAAATTGAAAGAGAAATAAAAAGCTTCATGGATAAAAAAAAAAAGCTAAAGGAATTTACACCGCCAAACCAGCACTGCAAGAAATGCTAAAGGGACTGTTGTAAGAAGAAACAAAGAGAGAGAGAGAAAGAGGGGGGAACACCAGCATAATATTAAAATACCAACTAATAACTATCTATCAATAATTACTTTAAATGTAAATGGCTTAAATGATCCAAACAAAAGACATAGGGTAGCTGATTGAATAAGAAAACCTGACTCATATATATGCTGTTTACAAGAGATCTACCTCACAACAAAAAACACAGAAGATGAAAGTGAAGGGATGGAAAAATATTTTCCAAGCAAATGGAAATGAAAAAAAACCTGGTGTAGCCTTACTCATATCTGAAAAGATAGACTTCAAAACGAGGGCCATAATAAGAGACAGAGAAGGTCACTACAAAATATTAAAAGGATCAATCCAACAAGAGGATATACCACTGGTAAACATATACGTACCAAATACGGGAGCACCAAAATATATTAAAATACTTCTGGAGGACTTCAAGGGAGAGATTGACAGCAATACGATCATAGTGGGTGACTTTGACACGCCACTGATACCACTGGATAGATCTTCCAGACAAAAAATTAGCGAGGACATAGCATTCTTACAAGGCAAAGTAGATCAGTTGGACTTAGTTGATATTTACAAGTTTCCATCAGTAGATGAGTGGAAATAAAAACTGTGGTAGAACCCCGGCCGGTTTGGCTCAGCGATTAGAGCGTCAGCCTGCAGTCCAAAGAGACCTGGGTTTGGTTCCCACTAGGGGCACGTACCTCGGTCACAGTTTGTCCCCGGCCCTGGATGGGTCATGTGGGTGGCAACCACTCGATGTGTCCCTTTCACGTCAATGTTTCTCTCTCTCTCTCTCTCTCTCTCTCTCCCCCTCCCTCCCTCCCTTCCTCACACTGAACAAAATATCAAAGTGTCCTCGGGTGAGGATAAAAAACAAAACAAAACGATGTGGTACATGTTGAGAAAATTGGACAGCTACTTGCAAAAAAATGGAATACTATGCAGCTATAAGAAAGATCTCTTATCAATTGAGATGTCATGGAGGGACCTGGAGAGTATTATGCTAAGCGAAACAAGCCAATCAGAGAAAGACAAATTATCACATGATCTCACTTATTTGTGGAATATAATGAACTAAACAAACTGATGAACAAAATTGACCCAGAGACATAGAAGTAGGGTACAGACTGACAAACCCCATAAGAGAGGGTGCTGGGGGGGGGGGGGAGATAAACCACAGAACTTATATGCATGTATGTATACCAGTGGACATAAAAAACAAAGCTGGGGATGGGCCGGGGGGAGCGGAGTAGGAGGGTGTCAATGGGGGAAAAAGGAGAAACATCTGTAACAAAAACAAATTAATAAAAATGATTAAAAAAAATTAAAACAACAAAAAAACCCATATGATCATTTCAGTGGACGCTAAAAAAGCATTAGACAAAATCCAGCACCCATTTCTGATAAAAATGCTCGGCAATGCAGGAATAGAGAGCATATCTCGACTTAAGAAAGGTCATATGAAAAACCTACAGCCAACATCGTACTCAATGGGCAAAGACTAAAAGGATTTCCCTGAAGAACAGGAACAAGACAGGGATGCCCACTTTTGCCACTCTTATTTGACATAGTACTGGAAGTCTCAGCCACAGCAATTAGATATGAAGAAAAAATAAAAGGGATTCAAATTGGAAAGGAGAAAGTGCAACAATTCCATTTACCAGTGTGGCAAAAATATTAAAATACGTAGGCATAAACTTAACCAAAGAAGTAAAGGACCTATTTGCAGAAAACTACAGTACATTGAAAAAAGAAATAGAGGAAGATATAAACAAGTGGAAGCATATACCTTGTTCATGGATTAGAAAAATTTACATCATTAAAATGTCTGTACTACCCAGAGCAATCTATAGATTCAATGCAATCCCCATTAAAATAATGACGATGTATTTCACAGAAGTAGAACAAAAACTTCAAAAGTTTATATGGAACCAGAAAAGACCCTGAATAGCTACAGCAATCTTGAAAAAAAAAAAAAAAAGAACAAAGTAGGAAGGATCACAATACTGGATATCAGGTTACACTACAAAGCCACTGTAATCAAAACAGCCTGGTATCGGCACATGAACAGGCATAAATGGAACAGAACTGAGAACCCAGAAAGTGACCCAAGACATTATGCTCTATTAACATTTGACAAAGTTGGTCAGAGCATACAATGAAGTAAACACAGCTTCTTTAATAAATGGTGTTGGGAAAATGCAAGAAAATGAAGCTAGAGCACCAACTTACACCATACAGAAGAATAAACTCAAAATGGATAAAAGACTTAAATGTGACTAGTGAATCCATAAAAATCCTGAAAGAAAATGTAGGCAACAAAATTTGAGACATCACACGCAGAATTTTCACTGGCACAACGCCTAAGGCAACAGAAACAAAGGAAAAAACAAATACATGGGACTACATCAAACTAAAAAGCTTCTGCACAGCAAAAGAAACAACCATCAAAATGGAAAAGGAACCCACTATATGGGAGAGCATGATTGCCAACAATACAACAGATTAAGGGGTTAATTTCCAAAATATATAGAATACTCATACAACTCAAATAAAGGAAGACAAAGAACCCAATTAAAAAATGAGCAGAGGACCTAAATAGACCTCTCCAAACAGGACATACAAATGGCCAAGAGACATATGAAAAAATGTTCAACATCACTAATCATCAGGGAGATGCAAATGCAAACGACTATGAGGTATCACCTGACACCTACCAGAATGGTTGCTATCAACCAATCATCATACAAGTGCTGGTGAGGGTGTGGAGAAAAGGGGTCTCTAGTACACTGGTGGTGGAAATGCAGACTGGTGCAGCCACTATGGAAATCAATATGGTGTTCCCTCAAAAAATTAAAAACTGAACTGCCATTTGACCCAGTGGTCCCACTTCTAGGAATATATTCTAAGAAGCCTGAAACACCAGTCAGAAAGAATATATATGTACCCCTATGTTCATAGCAGTACTATTTACAATAACTAAGATCTGGAAACAGCCCAAGTGTCCATCGCTAGATGAGTGGATAAAGAAGCTGTGGTACATATACACAATGGAACACTATGCAGCTGTAAGAAAGGAAGATCTCTTATCTTTTGAGATGACATGGAGGGACCTGGAGGGTATTATGCTAAGAAAAATAAGCCAATCAGAGAAAGACAAATACCACATGATCTCACTTATTTGTAGAATATAATTCACAGAAAAAGGTGATGAACAAAATAGACCCAGAGACATAGAAAGGAGTACAGTTCAGACTGACAAACTTCAGAGAAGAGGTGATGAGAGAAACCAAAGAACTTATATGCATGTATGCATAACCAATGGACACAGACAACAATGCTTGGGGCAGCGCATCTGGGAGGAAAGAGGAGAAACATCCGGAACAAAAATAAATGAACTAATAAAAAAAATAAAAAAAATACTGAGAACATTGACAGATTTTGATGTTGTAAATAAAAAATTAATTTAATCCTGAATGACTAGCACAATTGCTACTGTATTTCAGGGCAATCAGGCCTACATTGTAAAATTTCAAGAGACTAAAAGTAGCATTGCTTCTCTATTCTCCAACAAAGATTATTTCTACTTAAGAGTTATTTTTTCCCGTACTTACTAGAAATTCCCCCAATGTATTTTCATTCCTCCAGCTCCATCCTAGCCCAATTCATGTTTGGTTTAATGTTTAACATGCTCAAATTATTAAAAAATAAAGGCCTCAGATCCCCAATAGCCAGAAAATCCTGTCTGTCGTTTTATCTACTTGTAAAAATGACTGAACACAATTTTTAGATGAATAATGAAGCAACGCATATTTGTTCTTCTGTTATTGCCATTTTAATACAAACAAATACAAATCATATTACAAAATATATTTCATTCTTTTTCTAACGGAAAATTTTAAAACACTAACTTTATAGTAAAAGGCAACAGATTTATGTGATCTAAAGAGAAACCAGAGTATAAAAACACTAACTTTAAAAAATAAAAGTAAATTCCAAGTGTAGTAAAGACATGAAAACAAGAATGTTCTAGAGGAAAGCCTGGATAAGTGTATTTATATTCTGCAAGTAGAAAAGACCTTTCCAAAGGGCATAAACCCAGATGTAGCAAAGAAAAAAAAGACTGGTAAGTCTTACACAGATGATGGCAAAAATTAAAATGCTTGATGATGTCCAGAGCTGGGGAGGTGGAAGAAAACACGCACCCTAATAATAGCACAGAATAGTTTATAATTTCAAAAAAAACCACAAACAGCCCTAGTGTCCATCAATAGGAAATTGGTTACATTATAGTATGTCTGGGAAATGAAATACAAGATGGCCACCAAAAGGAATGAGGTAGATCTGAATGTATGTATTAACATGAAAGGTCTCCAGAATACACTAGTAAAAATACAGTAATTTGAAAAGGGAGGTGGGGTAGTGAACCACTAGGGCACCAATGAAGGTGAAAAGTGTATTACAGTCTACTGCAATTCCTTTCTGTCCTCCAAGGGAATTTAAAACACTGTTATCTTTAGACAGATGAATGAAGGGTAGAGGAAGAGGGTGGTAGACTTTTACTTTTCATTTTGCACCATTCTGTATTGTTTATGTTTCTACCCTTAAAGGTATAACATTATTTCAACAGGGGTTAAATGGGTATATAGACTATAACTCATTCATTGTTTTCTTTGTATCTCTCTCCATTAAAAAAAACCATACAATAATTGTTTTTTATACACACACACAAATGTTAAACTAAAACAGATAAAATTAAAAATACAGACATAGGTGCATATACACACACAAATGCTGACTGACTTTAAGCAGAGGAAAAAGCCTACCTTTTCCATATCAGACACTTACTATTCTAATGCATAATATACATAGTTATTATTATTTAAAGATCTCTTAAGTATTTCATTAATATTCACTAATCTGTAAGTTTCCATTTTATATGGTGATATAAGACTACAGGTACAATAAATCAGTGAATACAGAAAGAAATGTCAAGCATCTCATATGAATAATGTTCTAACTACCACATGATCTTTCTGTCCTTGTACCATCTCAGTTATGATTCAGAGACTGGTCTTCGAATCAGGTTCCCAAAATACGCGGTGATTGTCTTCAACTTATTATTAAGAAAGTTTTGTTCTATTTCCACTTGCCCTCCAGGCCCAGCTAAGGATGCCACCTTAAAAAAAGGAACAGAAGAAAGTCACAAATACATAAGCATGATTTCCAAATAAATCTTTCATTCATGTTTCATCAAATAATAAGATGACTTGGCTTTTTATTCAAGTCCTTCAAATAATGAGGCATCTCAACTGTTCACTCTTTCTAGGTATGAATGCATTAGTTGTTGGCAGAAACACTTGTGGTTTCAGACATGTTTGATATTCTGGGAAAGACCACAGTGCTGTTATTGCACAGGACCCAATCCCTCTAGTGCCAGAGGCTAAAGAACTCAGAGGAAGAGAAAACTAACACACCCTCCTCAAATATCAGATCTATTTAGATTTTGTTGTTAATCTCACCGGAGGATATTTTTCCATTGATTTTTAGATAGAGTGGAAGGGAGGGAGGGAGGGAGAGACAAGAGAGAGAAACATCAATGTGAGAGAGACACAGGGACTGGTTGCTTTCCGCACAACCCTGATTGGGCCAGGGACTGAACCTGCATCCCAGGTACGCACCCTCGACTGGGAATCAAACCTGTGACTCTTAGGTCCTTGGGGCAAGGCTCTAACACCCAAGTCAAACTGGCCAGAAATTTAAAGATTAACTAACTTTCCTGTATACTTTTGTCCTGTTCACCTTATCTTTGGCATCTTACCCTCTCATTGATTCAACAATATTTACTGAATACCTGCTACAAAATACTAGGAATAATAATACATCAGAGAGCAAGACAGATATGATCCCATAAGTTCTAGTCTCTGCTACCTACTTTTTCCTTCTCTAATTGGTCTCTTTTGCTGTTCTCCCAACCTAGACCACCTCCTCTACCTTTTGCTCTTTTGTGTGTGTATGTAGTTTTACCCCACTCCCCCTTTTTAGTGGGGTAAAATATACTGCTCTTTTTGAGGTCTACTACAATACAGTGAACAACACTTTTGTGAGGAAGCTAAATGCACCACCCACTCTCCCCCTCTTCAGAGTTAATATCAAAAGATGCTTCAAACTGGCGATGCTTTACCTCTTAAACAGATCGAGTTTTATTTTAGTCCAACATTTTTTCATCTTGGGTTTATTAACTAGCAAATATATTACCTTCTAACCCATCATTGCATAACCAGAGATCAGTTTACTGAGGCAACAGTGAGGAGCAAGGAAAAAGAGAATGCAGTGGAAAGCCCTGGGAGGCACTGAATAGAACAGTGTTGGAGAAAGGGGTACCCAAAGTACTATCAGAGACAGGTACAAACAATAGGAGACCTGCTTTCCTGTAATTAATTCTGCAGTGGGAACTAGTAAAAGTGTAGTATATTTTGTGAAGAGACGTGCTATAGGTCCAGTTGGTTTGCAGGCTGAAAGATCTAATCTCAGTGGTATGATACATAATACACCAGCATGGGGCAGAGGAAAGATTTACTGTGCATTTCCAATGAGTATGTATTTTAAAGCATTTCAACTTCCTCTTAGAAAAGCAGCCACAGATACAGAAATAGGGAAGAAACAACAGGTCATTCTATGGTATTCTTTTTTTCTCTTTATTGATTTTTTTTTTAGAGAGAGAGGAAGGGAGAGGGAGAGATAGAAACACTGATGAGAGAGAACATCAACTAGCTGCCTCCTGCATGCCCCACACTGGGGATTGAGCCTGCAACCTGGGCATGTGCCCTGATTGAGAACTGAACCGGTGACCTCTTGATGCATGGGTCAACGCTCAATCACTGAGCCACACCAGCTGGGCTATGGTACATTCTTAAAAGAAAAAACAAAGTTGTCCCACCATTGCAGTAACAGTGTCAGTATCAACTGACAGCCCGCAAAAGGAAACAGAACAGATGGCTATTTTTATCAACAGAAATAGATGACAACAGAAGTCAAACACAGTATCTATTTATCATTACGATAAAGAGCAAATGTACATACCACTATTTGCTAATAAAAAATGTAATAATTGCCCTGGCTGGTTTGGCTCAGGGAGTCTTGGTTTGATTCCAGGTCAAAGGCATGTACCTGGGTTGCAGGTTCAATCCCAGTCTCCTAAAGGTGGTGTGGAGGCAACCAATCAATGTGTTTCTCTCCCATCCATGTCTCTCTCTCTCTCCTTTTCACTCAAAAAAAAAAAACAAAAAAAAAAAAACAAAACCCAATGGAAAAATATCCTCAAGTAAGGATTAACACACAAACAAACAAGCAAACAGAAAGTAATAATTAAAGTAAAACTAGAAATTAAAAACAGTCAACTAGTCTCAGAGTGGCAATTATTAGGAATAATTTTTAAATTTATTTTAATCCTCACCTGACTTTTAGAGGAGTGTGTGTGTGTGGAGGGGAGGTGAGAGAGAAAACATCAATTGGTTGTACTGACGGGGATCAAACCAGCAACCTAGGTATGTGCTCTGACTGGGAATTAAACCCATAACCTTTTGGTGCACAGGACGATGCTCCAACCAACTGAGCCATCCAGCCAGGGCTAGAAATAATTGTTTTATATTCTATTTTGATATCTTTATGTCAGTCTGATTTTTCACAAGGAAGGGCAAAAATAATTTTGTCTTTAACTAATAAAAGGCATTTTGACTAGTATATCTAAAATATAATTTTCACAATAATTTTTCTGAGTTAAGATATAACTTAAGTGCAGTATTCTCCCATTCCTTTAAACAGTGATTTGTTTAAGGAAAGTGAGATTGGCAAAATGCAGTTTTCTAGGGAGGTGATGGTGGGGGTTGGAGAAAGGAAAGAACAGGAAGGATAAAGCACACCAAAGCAGAGCTGAAACAGCAGCAAAACATCTGCCAGGATGGGGCTAGCAGAAAAAAACAGCAAAGTCACAGGGAAATTTTAACACCAGATTTATCAATAATTTGCTGTATCAATTTAGAAAGCCATTAAGATAGGTTCTGGCTTTATAAATATAAAAAATGGGAATATTACCTATCCCCCTAAAAAGGGCACTTTAAAAGTAAGCCATAGATAAAATTACATTAAAATATATTTCTGAGAAGGGAGGGTAGTTTCTTTTCTCTCTCTTTCCATTCTTTAGAGGGTTGCCCAAACTTGGGTGCTTTGGATAGAAAAAGTAATACTGATGTGCTTACATAGGAGTCTTCTGAGATCTGTTACCAAACATTTAATAAATTGTTTTATTCAACAACTATTTACTAAGCACTTACAGGTTTCTGTTCTAGGTCATGGAGTGTAGCAAAAAAATAAAAAAAAGTCTCTGCCTTCATGAATCTTACATTCTGGCTGGGAGAGTCAGAGAATGGACAAATAAGTACTATTCCTGATACTGGAGGAAAAGGTGAATCTGTGTCAAAATATAATCAGAAGATGTATCTATTTTGTGTTTAAAAAGAAATTTACAAACAATTTAATGGTACTTTCAAGTGTTCTAATTAAAAATAATTTCTAACGTTAGCCTTTTTTACTTGTTCACATTTTCACAACTACGTGCATTTTAAAGGTTAGAATTCTGGAGTTGAAATGACTGTAAAGATTATGTAATTCGAGTCAATTAATGCTTTAAGCAAACTTAATGCCATCAGTTTCCAGTTGTCTTTATTTTTCATTAGCAGGTTTAACTACCAAAATGTTATTTGGTTCCTTCCCCTTTCTTAAAGTTTAATATATTGAGAGAGAGGGGGCGGGGGGGGGGGGAAGGAGAGAAAAGAAGGAGGAGAAAAGAAGGAAGGAGGGAGGGAAAAGAATAAGTAGGTAAGCAGGTAAAGATTAACAGCTCTGGATTACCTGCTATGTTTTTGGCAGATTACCTAAATATACTAGATTTATCAAAAGAAATCTCCATTACTTTAAAATGGAACTAGAGCTAAGGACTAAAGCTCATCAGCTAGATTTTGTATCAGGCAATGAAGCTGTTATTTTGGGATGGCGAAAGGAGAAATAGTAAAGATTACAATGAAGGTGGTAACTTTAGTAATAGGTAAGGCATAGGAAATATGAGTCAAATAAACATTCAAAACGGCATTATTCTTCAAAAGCAAACTGATTTAAAGTAAAAAAAAAGTATGGTAACTGAACGAATGGGAGAAAATAACTTCCAAACTGGATCCTAATGGCAAAATATATAATAAATACAAAGGACAGAAACTCTTTATAAGAAAGAAAAATTAGAGCACTGGAAAAATGTCCTTTCACTAAGAGCAAATCACACCAGATGAAAATGAACAGTATTTTTTATGGGCCCCACAGATCTGTCAACAGTGACAAGAGCAGCAACCATATGAAATGCTGGCTTGATCAGAAACCTAATATCAGACAGGCAGGTAAGTGCCTTACCCACGATTCCTTTTTGCCCTCACCTTGCTTTCGCTGTATCCAACTAACATGAAAATAAAAGTGAGTTGGGTAAAAATATTTTTAATGAACACATCTCTGGGAGATAAAATATATTTATCAGTAGAAAACCAAGCAATACTCAAACATAGATATTTATTAAAATCAATTCCATTTGTCTGCACATGGTAAACAGAAATGAGATTTCTATGCTTAATAAATCTTAATTTTTTTGGTGAGTTTTTTCATATAGCTTAAGTGATACCTCAAGTTATGACAGATACGATTTCCTGTGTCTTTTATCAAATATTTACTTGCTGATTAAAGCGAGTATGATTTTAAAATGTCAACATGTCAACAGGGGTACACTGGTTGACAAAACAAATTTTCCTGGCCATCAAAAGCTCACTTACATCTCTCTTAGGAGAAGGCTGCCAATAACCAGCTCACTAAGTCTTGTGTCTTCCCTGTTTTCAGAACCAGATACTGGAAACATGAAGACTGTTTTCAATTCAACAAGTTACATAAAGCACAACAGACTAGAGAGTCAGAAGCTCTCGGTTAATGGCAAACGTTTTGTAGGTAGCACTGTGTGTGTCATCCTTCTATTTTTTTTTTAATCTCTATCATTTACTGAAAGTTTTCTCAAAGGTGTGAGGGAACATAAGCTTATGTTCAGAAGCATTTGTGCCTTTCTACTTCGACTTACAAGGCCAGTTTCACAGCCCCTGTGTAGTATGATAATATATGCAGTACAAGAATGAATATTGTTCTAAATTGTTCAGCAGCCAACTTTCCAAGGGAAAAACTGGCTAATAAACTTTAGATGCTGATCAACTGTATCCTTAATTGCAATGTATAATTAAGCAGTAGATTTCACCAATAGAAATGGTCTAAAAACCTGGATACCAGTTACTGGAAGATAAAGCTCAGCAGCAGGTGTCTTTCATTTTGTGGTGAATTTTTAGCCTTTGGTTGTCTTTCTAACCAATCAGGAATGTTACGAATTGATTCACCTGAAATTCTATATAATTCCCTTTGCTACTCTTGTCACAATTTCTATTCACTACTCCCAACCTCATGGTGGGCTAACTCTGTGATAAGAGATGAATCTATTTCTTTTCAGTAATGAACAGCTTCTCCGTGGGAGACAGCAGGGCACTCTTAACTGTGCCAGTTAGTCAGAATGACTAGGCAAATCACTAAACTTCCCCAGTTTCACTCATCAATAAAATCAGGCTCATAACCTGCCTTTCTTACTCCCAAGTTGTTATAATAATGAGAATGTGTAGTGAACCCTACAAACTCTAAGTATGCCATTAAGGTAAGAAACATTTATTACACTCCTATATTGTGTGTGTGTGTGTGTGTGTGTGTGTATACATACACACACACACACACACAGGTCCTTTTCAGAATGAAATGTACTTTTGAATTTTCTGAGTTTTAAATGCTGGGTATTTTCAGGTTAAGCAGTTTCAGAACGTACTATTCTTGCCTGTACCAGAAGCCCAATCCAGTTCTTAGCCCTCGTTTTACTCTCTCCTGCTTCTGGTGTCTGCATCTAGACTAAGGGTCCTTCACTTGTTGGGATGGCTTTATCACACTGTGTACATGAATACAGTTTTGCCTACATGAGAGTAGATTTCAACCATGGAAATTTCATTTGGAACAATTTGACACAAACTTTTGATCAATCCTAATATTTAGAAACCAAGAAGGCCCTGATTTTTTTAACAAATCAACAAATACTTTAATAGCTTAGAACAAATATGTGCAAAGAAATTAGTAAATTTTTATTGCATTAAGCTAAAAACAAGCACTAAAAATGCTAATGAACTGAATTTAGTAGTATTTAAAATAGTTTCCAAATAATATTACCTAACAGTCTCCATATTTATAGTTTTCATTATTCAAATGCACACAACTGTATTCCTTTATGTGGTAAGTTTAAGAAATGTTACCTACAAATAAGCCCTCCCTTCCTCCCTGCTTCCTTAATAAACTATTAGAAGTGTGATAACTGCTACTATTAGGAACTTTCCCTCTCTAGACATTATTGGCTGTAATGGGAGCCTCGAGAACTCTACCAACTAGAAAGAAGAGATCTCCTGATTAAATCTAACATCAATTTCTATACTTAAAGATACAACTTAATCACAGGATAACTTTTACCCACGATATTAGGCCCATTTGTAAATATTTTCCCACAGGGAATGTGTGGGAGTCAACCAATAGGTGTATCTCTCTCATAAATGTTTCTCTCTTGCTCTTTCACCCTGCCTCCTTCCCTTCCACGCTCTTCAAAAAAAAAAATCAGTGGAAAAATAGCCTTGGGTGAGGATGGACTAACTAACTAACTAATACTACATATATACTTTCTTCATTTTAAAAAAAGCTGATTTCCCACTGTATTTTGACCCAAATTCAATACCAAATGATAAACTTTCAAGTTTCCCTCTTTACTTTTATTATTCTCTAGTGTCATTACTCCCTCTAGAGGTAGAAAATGTGAATAAACTACCAAGAGTAATTCTGGCAGGCTTTGAAGTAAATCAAAACCACCACATAAAGAAGAAAAGCTAACTTTCTCCTTGGGCTAATGTTAATTTAGAAAAAAATGTCCTCATTTTTTTTTTTTTTTATCCTCACCCGAGGATATTTTTCCATTTTTTGTACAGATAGAGTGGGAGGGAGAGAGAGGAAGGGAGAGGAGTCATTTTTAGGCATACTGTTCAGTGTCATTAAATACATTTGTTGTTCAACCATCACCACCATCTCAGAACTTTTTCTCATCTTCCCAAATCGACGTGAAGGGACACATTGAGTGGCCGCCACCCGCACGACCAACCAGGGCCGGGGACAAACTGCAACCGAAGTACGTGCCCTTAGCGGGAACCGAACCCGGGTCTCTCCAGACCGCAGGCCGACGCTCTAACCGCTGAGCCAAACTGGCCAGGGCAAAAATGTCCTCATTTTAACTTTTATAAGAAACACTAACTTTCCTATTGTCATTCAAGTACCCAAATCAGCCCACCTACTATTTAACATAAAGATCAGACAGACTCTCAGGAGACTAATTACAGAGCATAATATTTACTACATATGAGAAAAACAAGATGTATGGAATCAATGGGCTCAACCTTATCTAGGAATCTAGAATGCAGTTCTGAGTCACAGATCTGAATAGCAGATATTAGGTTTATTATCAAATTTGTTGTAAAAGTGTATGAAACAAGAAACAGTGTTTTTCTTGTTAACTGGTACACAATATAGTATTTGACAGGCCTAAGTTTAGCCACAATGGCTCATAAATAGATGACAAGCAGCAAGATCTAATTTCATCTTCTAACTCATTGATGAATGAACAAACACAATGTGGTATTTACAGCCAATGGAATACTACTGAGCTTTAAAAAGAGGAGAAATTCTGATATATGCTATAACAAGAATGAACCATTAGGAGATTTATACTAAGTGAAATAAACTAGACACAAAAGGACAAATATTGCATTGATTCCACTTATATGACATACCTAGTCAAAATTTTATAGAAATAGAAAGTAGAATGGTGGCTGCTAGGGGCAAGTTGGTGGAGGGTAATGGGAAGATAGTGTTTAATGGGCACAGAGTTTCAGTTTGGGAAGATGAGAAAAAGTTCTGAGATGGTGGTGATGGTTGAACAACAAATGTATTTAATGACACTGAACAGTATGCCTAAAAATGACTCAAGGTAAAACTTATATACATTTCATTTTACTATTATTAAAAAACAACCACTCAGGTAATTCTAATTTGCAGCTAGAGCTGAGAACCAATCAATGCTCCAAAGACTAAACAGATGGGAAAGTATAACAAATTCACACAAAAATATGTCCAGTACAAGTGAGTATATCTGGTTTCTGATAGGAAGAGAAAAATCTATAATCTCGAATGTATTTTTATAAATTAAATTCCATTACTACAAAATATTAAAGCTGTCTGTTCTTTCCTTTAGAGAAAACATGTCATTTTTTTTCATGTTGGTTCTCTTCAAAAACTTAGTAACATTTACATTCTTTCAACAATTTTCTAATAGGATCTTCTAAGTAACAGACTTTTTTGAGGATTTATGAATTAGAGATAGTATGATAAATGCTTTACCCACTTATTGCATTTATTTCTCAAAACTACCAACAGAAAGCTAGTAAGTGCAGGGCTGAGACTACACTCCAGCCCACCTGACTCTTACTCTTTTTTTTGGCCCATTACCTGAACACTACCCACTCATTCGCACTTCCCTGTCATTGGTATCTTTGTCACCTTGTCCTCAACTCCTACAATCCAATTTTCAACTTTAAAGTCCAGTTAAATGCTATGTCACCCAGGGCCTTTCCTGACACCATCCACCAAAAGCCAGAGCATTTAATCTCTACCTTTCTACCTTTCTTATGAGAAAGCTACATTATTACTATTTATGCACCTATCTCATAATCCCTAGGAAGATGCTGAACTGGCATGACTGTAAGGTATCTCTGGAGATACTAGGGGGAAACCATCAAACAAAAAAAATTTATGGAGACCCAAGATGGTGTGAATTGTGTGTGTATATAGAGGATTAAGGTTTGTGCTCCCTGGGAAGATAAAAGAGGAAGAAGGGAAAACAAGAAACATGAACTTGTGCTTTTGCTCCTCCCTACCCATTACCTTTGCCTTGTCTAAACAGTGTATACTGCCTCACCTGCAGAGACTGTGAACTCTGGTCTGTGTTCAGGAGTAAAGTTAGGGCAGTCTAGAAAGACGTTCTGCTGTGAGAAGCTGGGAGAAACAGGTAGGAACTAACCCTAGCAGCTGCTTTCTCACTGCTCCCTCTCCAAATCCCTAGAGTTGAAGAACTGTACTCTAAGATAAAAGAGTTCAGTCTTTAAATGCTACTTTTGTCCACAAAGGAGGAGGAGAGGGAAGCTATGTCTTGAGATGTATTTTGTGTAAATGACTCTAATCTGTGGTGCCTGGGTCAGCAACCTTCATCCCTTGAAGTTATCATTGGGGCTGATACAGGCTTCAACAGTTGTTCTTGACACAGGCTACACATTACAATGGACCCAGGGAGCCTTAAAAAACGATTAGCTCAATCTCTGGGGTGGGGCTTGCATAGTCACAGTTTGTTCAAGTATCTCCCCAGTGATTCTAAAGTGCAACCAGATTGACATTCACTGGATTCTGGCTTCCTTTATCCTTTTGCATTACTTGAGAATTGACAATACCCAGTAAGACATCTGAGGGTCACAAGTATTTCATGAAAGGAAAACAAAATGGATTATAAACTCTATCAAGCTGTACACAGAAAAGATAAAATAGATAAAGAATGTAAACTTTTAATATTAACATCAGAATGCACACAAAAGCAAAAAAAAAATGCAGAAATAAGAAGTATAAAGAATACGATTGAAGTAAAGAACACAACAGATGGGATAGATAACAGACTGTATATACCTGAGGAATGAACTAGCTGGAAGACTAGATGAAGTAATCTCTCAAAAAGAAAAGGAAGACAGAACACCAGAAAATACAGTTGAGGAAGATTAACTTCCTCATAATAGATGTCAGATGGTAAGGAGAACACAGCTGAACAAAGAATGGAGAGAATTTCTCTAGAAGATGAAAAAGTTCAGAATGATAGGGTCAGTTCTCAGAGTATCAAACAGGAGAGAAAGAAAAAACCCACACCTAGCAACATTGTAGTAAAATTTAGAATATGAAAGACAAAAGATTTAACAGATGTATAGCACAAGGCAGTATGTAGTAAGTGGCTCAGTTGGTTGTCTGATGCAGTAAAAGATCACCAGTTCAATTCCTGGTCAGGGTGTGTACACTAGGCAACGGATGGATGTTTCTTTCTCACATCCATGTTTCTCTCTCCGAAAAATCAACAAAAACATGTTTTAAAAAAATTCAACAAAGCCCTGGCCGGTTTGGCTCAACGGTTAGAGTGTCAGCCTACAGATCAGAGAGATCTAGGTTTGATTCCCGCTAAGGGCACGTACCTCGGTTGCAGTTCATCCCCGGCCCTGGCTGGGGTCATATGGGTGGCAGCCAGTTGATGTGTCTCTCTCACATCAATGTTTCTCTCTCTGTCTTCCTCTCTCTCTCCCTCCGGCTCTATCTGAAGATAAATGCAAAAGTGTCCTCGGGTGAGGATAAAAAAAAAATTCAACAAACGCATGAAATAATCAGCAGATCTTTATGAAGGAGTTATTATACTACATCCAATTCTACTACAGAAAAAAACAAACAAACCATGATTAGAGCAAGAACCGAATAAGGACATTTTAATTTTTTTTTTTTTTTTTTATCCTCACCCAAGGATATTTTCCCATTTTTTGTACAGATAGAGTGGGAGGGAGAGAGAGGAAGGGAGAGAGAGAGAGAAACATCGACGTGAAGGGACACATCGAGTGGCTGCCACCCGCACGACCAACCAGGGCCAGGGACAAACTGCAACCGAAGTACGTGCCCTTAGCGGGAACCGAACCCGGGTCTCTCCGGACCGCAGGCCGACGCTCTAACCGCTGAGCCAAACTGGCCAGGGCCCGAATAAGGACATTTTAATCTTAGTCAAGTGTCCTATGCCCCAAGACTATAGTTGCAATTGATCTTGGCTAAATTAAGGTTTTATCTGTCTATATTTATTTAGTGACTGTTTTCAAGAATATCTAAAACTTCTATTCTCAGGGTAGGTTTAAGTAGAGACAGATCTTGGCTATCTTAGGTGTGAGCATATGAACACAACACATTTAATTGTTCTTTTAGGATATATAATTAAAAGGCCAACATGTTGTTTATGTTAATGTATGTCAGGAACAGTGGAGATGAAGAGAATGAAATAGGCAAACCCTTCCAGTTTTCTAGTAATTTAACTGGCAAACACTTCCAGTTTTCTAGTAATAGTCAAAAAGCCAGGGACTTCTCATAAACACATTCTCAATTAAACAAATACCCTGTATCTTTTACCCATTCTTTTCAGTTATGCCAAGGCCCACAGAAGTTTTTCAGAAATGGCTTACCTGGTCAGTATCAGCATTTCTTGGAAGAAAAAAAACAATATTATTAGTGATCTTCTGAGAAAGTCTGAAAATTTCAAAGGTGGACAACAGTTAAGGAAAAGTGACAAAAGTAGCAGTTAATTTCTGATCAGAGATTAAATTCTTTACTTAAATCATAACCCAAAAGTATTTTAGTATGTAATAATGAGGCACACATTTAAATCCTCTATTGGAACATAAGAGAATTAAGTAGTTGATTTCCTAACTCAGTAGCACACTGTCCCTGATAGGTCAGAGGTTAGAAGTTAAACCTATTTATTTTTAAATGGTTTTAGAGAGGAAGGGAGGGAGGGAGAGGAAGGAAAGGAGAAGAGGGAGGGAGAGAGACAGAAACATTAATCAATTGCCTCCTGCATGCACTCCTTCCAGGGATTGAACCTGCAACCTAGGCATGTGCCCTGACCAGGAATTGAAACCACCACCTTCTGGTGTATGGGATGATGCTCCAACCAAGCCACACAGGCCATGGCCCCACCTTTTTTTTTTAAACCCTCAACCAGGGATGTTTTTTAATGGATTTTTTTTTATTGAGTGAGGAAGGGGGAAGAGAGAGAGAAACATCAATCAGTTGCCTCACATATGCACCTGGAAGGAAATCAAACTTGTAACTTTTTTTTTTGGTATAGGGGATGATGCTCCTACCAACTGAGCCACCTGTCCTGGGCAGAAATTAAACCTATTTTTCATTTATCCTAGTGGTGGGCAACGAAGAGTCAGAAAATACTCTTTTTCTTCCTGTCATTTCTTAGTACAAATAGAACAGGAAAGCATAATACCACTTCCTTCCAGTAAGGAGTAAAGACAAATAACATTTATTGTCATCCACATTCTAATTTTTAATTAGCAATTTAGAAATATGTTTTCTGTTAAGAGTCAAAGAGATGATTCCTCTGGGTAGTAGAGATAAAGGGACAAACAATATAAATGCTGTTCTTTATGAAATACGGGCTTGCTTCAGTATCTTGGAATAGTAACAAGAAAATCTTGAGGATACACTCAGAATTAGCAAATGTGTGAGTGGAAGAATAGTTAAGGGTCAGTCATCTAGACTTTGGGGACAGGTCTCCAGGAAATTCCCAATTTCCAGACAATAATTTCAAACAATTAATGCTTTCTAGGTCTTATTTTATAATAGTAAAAGTAGATAGTAACCAAAGGAAATATACCTTACATTTGCTGTAACTTTTAGAGATTGGTTACCAGTTAACTTTTACATACCTACTTTTTATGTAAAACAAACTAGGATCTAACAAATGTTATTAGTTTCTCTCTTCACTAATTTCTCTCTCAAATACACATACACACCCCCATCCCCTCAATCACTGGTTGAGCAAACTCTTAGGACTTTCAAAGGATATCCATCAGGAGACATCATTGTGCTAATGTCAAAGGTCTCTGCAGTAGCGTAGTCTGGCCCTCCCCAAGGGGGGCTGAGGAACACAACATCGGCCTTTAACTGAGGAGCCAGCAGCAGGAAATCTCCACAGATGAATTCTACCTTGTCTGCTATCCCATAAACTTCAGCATTATTGCGAGCAAGATCAATCTTAACAGGATCAATATCAATGGCAATCACTAAAAATGGGAACAGGAAAGATAAGTCAAATGATTCTGATTAGTAGTATTAGAATACTTTATCTTCTGATTAGTGTGTTTATTTAATGTAGAAGAATCTTTTTTTAAAGACTAATGACAGTTGGCCTCATATACAAGAGATAGTTGCTACTAAGTATCTACTAAGAGCCAAACAGGTGGTCAGCACAGTGTTCTGTGCATGGTAAAGGCTGAGCAGTAAACACTTGGAAAGGTCCTCGACTGCATGTAAAGCCTATATATGCTAAGATTTCAGAAAAAACCACTCTCCTCAAAATGAGGTAACCACCAAAGAAGACAAATTTGACAGCTTCTACAGAAAAGCAAAATAAAACAAATTCTGACAACCCTCTTTAGCCAACTTATGAAGAAATGTAAAAAAGTCTGTTTAATTTACTGCAATTTCATAATTAGCAACGCAAAGTTAAATTTAGCTCACTCATATCTTGCAGTAAGTGCACATATATGTGCACCAGTGTGTTAGTGGCAATATTTTATATTTGGAAGGGCTAGGTGGAACCTTGATGCATACACTAGGGTTGTGAAGGAAACATCTGTTTTCCAGAATATGGTGGTTTCAAAATTTGTTAACACTTTTGAGAAATAATGCACAAAATAAATCACTTGAACAATGAATATAAGCACCAATTATATGCTGTAAAATCATGCATTTACAATGTTATTTTTTCTGTTCTACCTAAACTAACATTCATATTAATAAGAAAAAAGATAAAAACATCTTTTTCAACTGCTCAATCTGCTACATTGATAGAGACAGATGGAAAGATACGCAGGAAATACCAAAAATTCAATGGAAAAAATGACTTTCAACATCAAATATATTCAATTAATATTTATGTTTTTATGATTTCCCTTGGAGGCAGACTTTGTTTTCAGGCCTGACAAAATGCACGGATGCAATGTGCTCATACAACTGAAATGCTGACAATGAAGGATGATACTACATAGAGCTGCACAGTCCAATAATGGTACCCATTAGCCACATGTGGCTATTACTTTAAATATTTAATATGAAATTATTAATTTATATCTTAAACGTCAGCAAAGATAAGCTGATGCAAAATGAAACATTTACTGAGTGAACTGAATATAATTTACTTTTCTTCCATTGACGGCTAATTACCTCTCTTTCCAGTTAAGGCAAACTGAATAGTATTTCCTCCAACTCCGCAAAATGCATCCACAACAATGTCGCACTTGAAGGACTCACTGACCCGGCCAGCAATGTGTTCAGCAATCTTCTCAGGTGTAACTGAAAACCAGCCCTCTGCAAAGGAAGAGTATTTCTATAAAGATGTTCAATTTTAAGAAGGCAAGCCAGGCATAAACATAGCAAACATTATTATATAATATATACTTAAAAAAAAAACCCTTTGTTTCTTATTTTGAAAAACTATAAATAACCTAGTTTTAAAGAAAAGTTCTACAAAGCTTGTTATAAAAAGAAGCAGTACCATTCCTATTCCCAGTAGCCACAGAAAGCAACCACCTCAATTCTTTTCTGATCTGATTCTTTTGCAATATATCTCCAATAACTGAGTGCAATTCCTATTTTTATGTTTGAAGTATTAACTTCTGACTATCTACTATGGAAAATGGGAAGTTAGCCATTCTAATAGGCCAATTCCCCAAACTCCACAGTTTCCCAATTATTTCATTCCTAATGGGGCAGCAATGAACCAGACTTGTACTGGACACACCTCGGAAAAATTCAAACATTTCTAAAGAACCAGGAAAAGCAAGGAACTGAAAGCAGAAGGCTGCAAAGCTGTAGGAATAGCAGAACCCTCATCATTTTCAGAAATGAGGTTGCATGTCCCATGACCACTCCAGAGAAAAGATGCTGCCCTCTTTCTTTCCCAATAGAAGAAATTCACATTTTTAAGAAAGACGTTTCTCTGAACAAAATGATGCACACCAATTTTCCTGTTTATTTTCCATACTAAAAGTTTAAATTGCTCCTCATTGCTGGAAGAATAAAAATATTAATTCCTTTTACAGAATTAAAAGCTTTTATCTAGTCATATTTCTCCTAACAAACTCCTTTGCACTTCTTTTAATACATAACATTTTGTAAATAACTACCAGAAGGTCACAGACCCCTGAAATTCTACCAGTGATCAAGACTTCCTGATTTTGACAGTTAATAAATACCTAATTTAAGTAGTTTCAATAGGAAAATATGCATCAATTTTCAGAATTGAGTTAAGTAAGCTGTTCAAGGTCAGAACAGAAAAACGTGAAAAGTAATTCAAAGTTTCCATTATATTTCTGCACTAGGTATTTCTTCATAAAATGTTCATTTTAATAATCTATCAATTCCTGTTGCTATCTACCCTAAGATGCTACAAATACAGATTGAACCTGAGACTGAAGTTTTAAAAACACATATATACCAAAATTGAGAGACACGGTGGATATTAACTGTCTGTTATTCTTTGGAAAATGTCAAATTACTGAAAGATAAAAAGGCTGAGGAAATATCCACATTAAAAGAAACCAAGGAAACGTGAAACAAAATGCAATACATGATTCTATACTAGAAGGGAAAAAAAATGCTATAAAGGACATGATTAGTTAGAATAATTGATAAAACTGGACTATAGACTGTTGATTACAATATTGTAACAATGTTAAATTTATAGATTTACCACTGTTACATAAAAATATCCTTGTTCTTAGAAAATACACACTAAAGTATTTAGGAATAGGGGCAACTGGATCAGAAACACACACACACACACACACACACACACACACACACACAATGATAGGGCAAATGTGGCAAAATGTTAAGAAACATGAGTCCGGGTAATGGGGATAAGAAAATTTCCCTACTACTCCTGCAACTTTTCCATAAGTTTAAAATTATTTCAAAATAAAGATGAAAATTACACATATACTTTACCTCTGTCCAATTTAATCCCATCATCAAAACGGGAGAAGAGCCTGTACCTCTGAGCCCAGTATTTTGCCAGATCAGGAATAGCAGCTATCTCAGGAGGCAGACCAATTACTTTCCTGTTCTTGTTTTTCTTCTTCTTCTTCTTCTTTTTAATTTCAGCTACAATGAAAGAATATAAAAAATATAGATGCAGGATTCCAAAATGGCGGCAGAGTGAATGGAAGCTACACAGACCATCTCCCAGGACCAAACTGGAATTACAACAAAAATAAAGACAAATCGTCAGGAAAAAACAACAGAAACGTAGTTTGGAGGATGATATAACCAGGGACACCGACTGGATCCTGGTAGGATTGTGAAGGTGCAAGAGTGGGGCTGGGAGCCCAACACAGCAGTGGCCTTAGTTGTGAGCAGCGCCCTCGCCATTGGGTTAAACTCCCAAGCGGCTCCACAGTGCAGAGCTGGGCAGACGCTAAAATAGCCACAGACACTCACATTGGACCCTGGCAGAGGGAGGGCAGACTGCACTGGAACTGTGTGGGGACACTCAGGATTTGGAGGGCGCTCAGAGCTTTTGCTGAGATGCAGCCCAACAGGAAAGCCACACAGGACAGTGGTCATCTTACTCCTTCCCATGGCTCTGGGGAGAGGCAGCGGCCCCCTCCCTCAGAGATTCAACCCCACCTGGGGGTCATTGAAATGCCAATTGAGGCCCATTAACAACCAGCATCTGCCCCAACCTCAGGAAATCCTCTTATGCTGAACACCTGAGGGAGTTTCTTTTTCCACTGAGAAGCCAAGGCTCCCCAAGTAACCACTACTGCTAGCCTCCAGGCAAAACGCTAGAGGATGACTGTACCATTCCTGGGCTAGCAACTCTAACCAGGAAAGTAACACTTGACAGTGGTGTTTAACATGGGACCTCCCTGGCTCATCCCAACCCAAGAGAGGGAGCAACAAACAGCAGAACACCAACACCCACAGGGAAAATTTGGTAGGCTCCAAAGCCCGCTGTGATAGCCAAAATAGTGAAACACAGAAACAAAAGCCAAATGAAAGAATAAAAGACTTCTACCAAAAATGAGATAAATGAGGTGCAGTTAAGCAAGTTAACAGAACTAGAATTCAGAGCCATGATCGTAAGGAATCTCAATAGCATGTGTAAGGACATGAGCAATGTGAGTAAACACATAGAAATGTTGAAAATCAACCAGCTGGAAATTAAAAACCACCAAGAACAAATGAAGAATGATATAGCAGAAATTAAGAATACATTGGAAGGTCTAAACAGCAGAGTAAAGGAAGCAGAGGGCCAGATCAGTGAAGACAGGGTAGAAAATATCAACCAATCAGAAAACCAAAAGGAAAAACAATTAAAAAACAGGAAGACACTGTAAGAGAATTGTGGGACAAGTGGAAACGAAATAATATTCGTATCATGGGAGTCCCCAAAGAAGAAAATGAGTAAGGGTTAGAGAATATATTTGAAGAAATAGTGACAGAAAACTTCCCTAATTTGGTGAAGAAAGAAGGCATTCAAGTTCAAGAAGCACAGAGAGGCCCAAGTAGGAACAACCCAAACAGGCCCACAGCTAGACACACAGAAATCAAAACGCCAAAAATTAAAGACAAAGAGAGAATCCTAAAAGCAGCAAGAGATAAGCAATAGGTTATCTACAGAGGAAACACCATAAGGCTCTCAGCTGACTTCTCACAAGAAACACTACAGGCCAGAAGGGAATGGCATGAGGTAATCAAGGTCATGAAAAACAAGGATCTGAATCCAAGAATAATCTATCTAGCAAGGCTGTCATTCAAAACAGAAGGTCAAATAGAGAGCTTCCCAGTCAAAAAAAGGCTAAAGGAATACATTAGCACCAAACCAGCACTGCAAGAAAGGTTAAAAGGACTGCTGTAATTAGCAGAAGAAATGGGAAGAAAAACATAACCACACTAAACAAAAATGGCAATAAATAAGTACATACCAATAATCACCTTAAATGTAAATGGTTTGAATGCTCCAATAAAAAGACACGAAGTAGCTGATTGGATAAAAAGCATGACTCATCTATATGGTGTTTAAAAGAGACCCACCTCACAACAGAAGACTCACTTAGGTTGAAAGTGAAGAGATGGAAAAAAATATTCTAAGCAAACAGAAAGGAAAAAAAGCTGGGGTAGCAATACTCATATCTGATAAAATAGATTTCAAAATGAAGGCCATAACTAGAGAAAAAGAAGGCCACTACATAATATTGAAAAGATCTATCCAACAGGAAGATATAACCTCGATAAACATATATACACCCAATATAGGAACACCAAAATATATTAAAAATCTTCTGGAAGACCTCAAAGGAGAAATCGATGGCAATACAATCATAGCAGGGGACTTCAACACCTCATTGACATCACTGCAAAGATCCTTCAGACAAAAAATTAGCAAGGAAACAGAGACTCTAAATGAAGCACTAGACCAAATAGATTTAATAGATATCTACAGAGAATTATACCCCAAAACTACAGAATTCACATTCTTCTCAACTGCACATGGGACACTCTCAAAGATAGACCACATGGTAAGACAAAAACTAAGTCTCTACAAGATCAAGAAGATTGAAATCATATCAAGCATCTTCTCAGATCAAAATGGCATGAAACTAGAAATCAATTGCAACAAGAATATGCCAAGACATTTGAACACATGGAGGCTAAATCGCATGTTATTAAACAACGAATGGGTTACCGAGGAGATCAAGGGAGAAATTAAAAACTTCCCGGAAACCAATGAAATTGAACACACAACACAAACTCTATGGGATGCAGCGAAAGCAGTTCTGAGAGGGAAGTTCATAGAACTACAGGCCTACCTCAAGAAACAACAAAAATTTCTAATTGTCTGTCTAATCTCACAACTTAAAGAACTAGAGAACAAACAAAAAGAAAACCCCAGAGCAAGTAGAAGGAAGGAAATAGTAAAGATCACAGCAGAAATAAATGACATAGAGTCCAAAAAAAAAACAATTCAAAGGATCAATGAAACAAAGAGCTGGTTTTTATTTTTTTTATCCTCATTCGAGGACATTTTTCCATTTTTTGTACAGACAGAGTGGGAGGGAGAGAGAGGAAGAGAGAGAGAGGGAAACATCGATGTGAAAGGGACACATCGAGTGGCTGCCACCCGCACGACCAACCAGGGCCGGGGACAAACTGCAACCGAGGTATGTGCCCTTAGCGGGAACCGAACCCGGGTCTCTCCGGACCGCAGGCGGACGCTCTAACCGCTGAGCCAAACCGGCCAGGGCAAAGAGCTGGTTTTTAAAAAAGATAAACAAGATTGATGGACCCTTAGCTAGACTCATCAAGAAACAAAGAGAGAACCCAATTACACAAAATCAGAAATAAAAGAGAAGTAACAAATGACACCACACAAATGCAAAAGATTGTTAACAATTACTATGAACAATTATATGCTAACAAATTCGACAATCTAAGTGAAATGGACAAATTTCTAGAAACACATAGTCTCCCAATACTGGACAGGGAAGAGATAGAAAACTTGAACAGAACAGTAACAACTAAGGAAATTGAAGATGTAATCAAGACTCTCCCAGCAAACAAAAGCCCAGGCTTGGATGGCTTTATGGGGGAGTTTTACCAAACCTTCAAAGAACTAACACCCATTCTCCTCAAACTATTTCAAAAAATTCAAGAAGAAGGAAGACTTCCAAACTCATTTTATGAGGCCAACATAACTCTAATTCCAAAACCAGAAAAAGACACTACAAAGAAAGAAAACTAGCCAATATCCCTGATGAACATAGACGCCAAAATCCTGAACAAAATACTAGCAAATCGGATCCAGCAATACACCAAAAAAATTATTCACCATGACCAAGTGGGATTCTTCCCAGGGGATGCAAGGCTGGTACAATATTTGCAAATCAATAAATGTGATACACCACATAAATAAATTGAAGAATAAAAACCACATGATCATATCAATAGATGCTGAAAAAGCCTTCGACAAAATCCAGCATCCATTTCTGATAAAAACGCTCAGCAATGTGGGAATAGAGGGATCATATCTAGACATAATAAAGGCCATATATGAAAGCCCTACAGCCAACATCATACTTAATGGGCAAAAACTAAAAGCATTTCCCTTAAGAACAGGAACAAGACAAGGATGCCCACTTTCGCCACTCTTATTTAACATAGTACTGGAAGTCTTAGCCACAGCAATCAGACAGGAAGAAAAAATAAAAGGGATCCAAATTGGAAAGGACGAAGTGAAACTGTCATTATATGCAGATGACATGATACTATACAGAAAACCCCAAAGACTCCATAAAAAATTTAATAGACTTAATAAATGAATTTGGAAAAGTAGCAGGATACAAAATTAACGTCAAGAAATCGATGGCTTTCTTATACACCAATGATGAACTCACAGAAAGAGAAACTAAGAAAACAATCATGTTTACTGTTGTGGCAAAAAAAATTAAAATATCTAGGAATAAACTTAACCAAAGAAATAAACGACCTATTTGCAGAAAACTATAGGTCATTGAAAAAAGTAACAGAGGAAGATATTAAAAAGTAGGAGTACATACCTTGTTTATGGACTGGAAGAATTAACATCATTAAAATGTCCATAGTACCCAAACAATCTATAGATTCAATGCAACCCCCATCAAAATACCAACAACGTATTTCACAGAACTAGAACAATACTTCAAAAGTTCATATGGAACCAAAAAAGACATCAAATAGCCACAGGAATCTTGAAAAAGAAGAACAAAGTAGGAGGGATCACATGACCAGATTTCAGGTTATATTACAAAGCCACTGTAATTAAAACAGCCTGGTACTGGCACAAGAACAGGCATATAGACCAGTGGAACGGAACAGAGAACCCAGAAATGGACCCAAGGCAATATGTTCAATTAATATTTGAGAAAGGTGGCAAGAGCATATAGTGGAGTAAAGACAGCCTCTTCAATAAATGGTGTTGGGAAAACTGGACAGCTACATTCAAAAAAATGAAACTAGACCATCAACTTACACCCTACACAAGAAAAAACTCGAAATGAATAAAAGACTTAAATGTGACTCATGAATCCATAAAAATCCTAGAAGAAACTGTAGGCCAAGATATTTCTGACATCATATGCAGCAGAATTTTCACTGATACATCACCTAAGGCAATAGAAACAAAGGAGAAAATGAACACATGGGACTACATCAAACTCAAAAGCTTCTGCACAGGAAAAGATACAATCATCAAAATGGAAAGGCTACCCACTGTATGGGAGAACATAATTGCCAATGATATATCAGATAGGGGGGTTAATTTCCAATATATATATATAGAGGGCTCATACAACTCAACAAAAGGAAGACAAAGAACCCAATTAAAAAATGGGCAGAGGAACTAAGTAGACACCTCTCCAAACAGGACATACAAATGGTTCAGAGACATATGAAAAAATGCTCAACATCATTAATTATCAAGAGATGCAAATGAAAACAACAATGATGTATCACCTCACCCCTGTCAGAATGGCCGCCATCAACAAATCATTAAACAAGTGTTGGTGAGTGTGTGGAGAAAAGGGGACTCTAGTACACTGCTGGTGGGAATGCAGACTGGTGCAGCCACTATGGAAAACAATATGGTGTTACCTCAAAAATTAAAAATTGAACTTCCATTTGACCCAGTGATCCCACTTCTAGGAATATACCCTACAAAGCCTGAAACACCAATTAGAAAGAATATATGTACCCCCATGTTTGTAGCAGCACTATTTACCATAGCTAAGATCTGGAAACAGACCAAATGTCCATCAGTAGACAAATGGATAAAAAAAGCTGTAGTCCATATACACAATGGAGTACTACGCAGCTGTAAGAAAGAAAGATCTCTTATCCTTTGAGAATACACGGAGGGACCTGGAACGTATCATCCTAAGTGAAACAAGCCAAACAGAGAAAGACAAGTATCATATGATCTCACTTATTTGTGGAATATAATGAACATAACAGTCTGAGGAATGGGGTAGTCCCAGAGACATGGAAGTGGGGAACAGACTGACAATCCCCAGAAGAGGGGGTGGTGGGGGAGAGATAAACTACAGAACTTATATGCATGTGTGCATGAACAATGGACATGGACAACAAAGCTGGGGACAGGACGGGGAGAGTGAGGGAGGGGGAATCAGTGGGGGGAAATGAAGAAACATCTGTAACAAAAATAAATAAAAAAAGAAGAAGAAAAAAAAGAATATAGATGCACACTATGAAGAAAGGAAATCACAGGTGAATATTTCTAAAAGTGTAGCCACATCACATAATTATAATTTGGGATGGAACTCCAGAATGTGTGTGTAGTAACACACTTGGAGAAGCAGGAGGGTATAATGGAAATAGCACTGACTTTAGATTCCATCCTCCAGTTTGCTACTTACTGGCTCCCTAAGCTTGGAAAAGTAATCCAGGCTCTCTGAGTGCCAACTTTTAATTCTTCAAAAGGAATAAATGGCTGAGTAGTATTTTACCTATTTACATCACAGGATTGTTAGGAGATATGTACTATTACAAGTATGAAAGTTATTACTTCTGTTACATAAGACACTGTTTCAGTTGGTGAATTATAGAAATCCAAACATTTTCCTTCCCTCCTTTAAAATAAAATTTCCTAAGGACTGATTAAGCTCCAACTCTTAGCTACATGTATCCTCTGAACCCAGCCATGACCTAGAAGTTGTAGTGCCTCTGAGAAATTGAAACATGGGTCACTAGCTCTATTCAATAGAAAAATATCTCATTCAGAGATTGACGTTTTGTTAAACAATTTTTATTAGTTTGGTTATTTGTTTCAGTTCTGAGATTAGAAGATGAGAGTGTTATCATAGCTAAATGTAATGACAAAAAGTGACGTTGACAAAGTTCTATCACATTTATATGGCCCTCAAAGATAGGACTATCTTACTATGGTCATCTGATCATTGCAAATAGCTAAAGGTGTCACCAAGAGCAAAGTGCAGCAAGTTTCTCAAGAGAGGGAACACTAACATTTCTTGTCCAAGACCATGCTGTATCCAGTTTAACATTAAGTAATCCAAAGTACCAAATACCCAAGTTCCCCAGGTCATTCTAACAACCAACATCTTTCAAATGCCCCTGAGAGAGTGGTATCACCCAGTTAAGAACTACCAATATTGTGACAAGTGGTGAACAGGGAATTAGGGTAGAGTGGGAAAATGGGATTTAGGAATCAGACAACTTGGTACTGAGTCCTAGCTATGCCAGTTACTGGCTGTGTGACCTTGAGCAAGTTTCTTAATTTCTCTGAGCTTTATTTTGACTTTCCATATTTATAGTTAATTCCACCTACCTCATTGGGGTACTTTATAGATTAAATAAGAGTAAGGCATGTGAAAGCATTTCAGAAATCTGCAAGTGCCACATGAACACCAGCTGTACATTAAAAACGTATATAATAAAAAATAGTTGCTTAATAAAAAAAATTAACTACCTTAAGTATGCTGTTTAGAAAGTCAAGGAAGTATGTGATACAGATAACATAGGTCTATACACACGCACACATGCACACACACACAAAGTCAAGATTGAAATGAGGTAGTTTCCTTAATACAAACTTAAGGAAAATGAAAACACGGGTCACTAAATCTATTCAACAGAAAAAGACTCATTCATTCCTAAGAAACAAGTAATCGCAATAAATACAATTTTTTCTTTAGGCAAGTCTGAAGTAACTCATCTATAAAACTGAATATTATTTCAAATAAAAATGCTTACTTTATAAAAGCTCCAATGTTCCATCAAAAACAATTATTATTTTTTAAAGTATAAAAGAACATTTGCTTAGCCCAGTCAGTGTGGCTCAGTGGTTGAGTGTCAACCTATGCACCAAGAAGTCGCAGGTTCAATTCCCGGTCAGGGCACATGCCCAGGTTGTGGGTCTAATCCCCAGTGGGGGGCATGTAGGAGGCAGCCAAGCAATGTTCTCTCATCAATATTTCTATTTCTCTCTCCCTCTCCCTTCTACTCTCTCTAAAATCAATAAAGAAAAAAATTTAAGAAAATAAAAGAACATTTGCTTATCCTTTTGGTGCCAATTCAAAACAGGAAAGTGATAACAGAAAATGCAAATAGTACAGAAGAGCATAAAGTGAAAATACTACTTTGTTCTCCACTCATTATAACTAACTACTATAGATACTTTATGTCAATGTACCATCCAAAAACAAATTACCACTACCCACAACCAGTTTTGTAGTGACAAAACTGAAAGATAAAAAAGAATGATCAAAATGAAAAGCAGGGCAATACTAAATTTCAATAGGGATAAAATGGTCTGACCACCTTTAGCCCATGAGACAGAATGTAGTGGCAGAAACCAATCTTAATGGCATAGACAGTGGTATTCAAACAGTTTCGCCATATGTTTTACCTTTGATGTTATTATGCTTGTTTGGGTAAGAGGGAAGTGCATTTTGGGGGCCAAACCGTAGCCTCATTTACTTAACATGCCTTCTCTCAACTTAAAAGTAAATAGCTGTGAATTCTTAAGTACTGATGACGCATAAGTGAAAAGTAGAGAAAACATTTTTTAAATGTATTTATTTAAATCCACTACCAAGTTGAAGCATATTTAGTCTTACCTTCAGTTTCTGTCTGAAGAGAGTCTGGTATATCCTGAGCATTACCATCCTCCTTATCTGTGATAGCTGCTACGGTTCTGTCCCCTTCACTTTTTTCTGTTTCAAGTTCACCAGATGAAGATATGGCATGACTCTCTTCAGGTTCTGAATTGCTCACCTCCACTGGCTTTTCCCCTCTGGTAACAGACATTTCCTGTTCTTCTGAATCACTGCTTGTGCAAGTGCCTTGCACATCATCATGGGAAATTGACTCCTGTGATGTTTCCTCATCCACTGGTTCATTAACCCATTTTAAAAATTTTTCTACCTGAAATTTTAAAATGTTACAGGCATGAACCAATACCAATTACACAGAATATTTCTGCCTGCTTTATCATTTGTGACCTGCCTGACAAGTGCATCACAATTATTAGCTCTGATAAGTACACTGTATCATACAAGCTAATGTGAGTAAGTAATTACAAGCTAATTGCACATTGTTGTCTGGACATACAATGATTTTATTAAAGACTTTTTTACAAGGAAGAAAATATCAGATTACACACAAGACTATGACTTTCCTGTTATCAACTGGCACCAAGAGGATAAAGTTGGAACTCTTCCAGTAGCTTTCCATAAAGGCTTCTAACAATATAACCGTACTATATGATATTACCATTACAAATGTACCTACCTATTGTTATATCATTAACTTGACTTTTTCTGTAAGGCCTAGACTATTATTTATGTTAAATGGTACTCAGCTCCAAAGATGAACTCTTAAAAAGATTTTGTACCAATCTGTAAGAATAAAGACAGTGCTATCTTGGAAAGAACACAAGCTGCCTTTTAATGAAGCGGTAGAGTCAGTAAAATGATTCCTAAAAACTAGGTTTCTTCTATGAAATGTTAACAAGGCTCAAGGTCAGATGATATATACTGTCTTGCCATCTTCTGTTACAAAAATATTCTTCATAACAGATCATGACCTTTCTAGGAGTTAGCAAATCAGAACAAGAGTGGTAGGTAGAAGTTGTACAGGGACAATGACCCACAATCTTCCTTTGAGGAAATTGTGCCTATACATCAATCAGATATCTAAGGACACAACAACCACATTTCTTTTCCTCAGTAATACTTAGCAGTTATGTTTCTGCTCCTCATCTGCAAATAAACATAAGGGGACAATCACATCTAACACATTATAAAAAATCCTGTAAGATTGATTGAACTGATACTGGAAATCTGTTCCAGACATAACTAGGGCCACTAAAATATTAAAATATCACCAGTAAACAAACAATCTGAATCACCAAATTTGCCTTGAGTCTCACATCATTAAGATAAACTTGTTAGTACAAAGTTTAAACAATCGCCTTTAGGTGACCTCAAAAGTAAGGATTACAATAAAAGTTGTATCAGACATCAGACTTCCAGGATCCTACTTAAGACTAAAACAGAATGATAAGCAATTTCCATTGTCTGTTACTAAATACACATGAGAATTTTATCTTTTTATCTTGCCAGACTCTCCCTCCTACTTTGTAGCTTTCAGAACATTCCCTTTTCACATTACCCCCAACTTAATCTTTTTCCAAGTTAGTTCACACAATCTATGTCTTTAGAACACAAGTGGAAAAGAATTTCAGGTGTCTTTATATCTGGCAGAAACAGGGTTCTCATTTGAAAACAAGAACGTTAAGGAGCCAAGCTTACAAAATGAATCCTATCTGTAAATAAAAAACAAAATGTATACATACCTTACTCAAAGTTTTGCTTTTCTTGAAACATGTTTTTTCTGTGTCTTCAGAAAAGAAAATATGTTTATTTTTCAAATTTATTTGTCTTCTCATGTCCAAGAACTTTGACTGATACTTCACATTTTTCTGTAGATACCTGACACGTCTATGACTGAATTGTGAAATTCCACCATATCTGTGATCAAATCAAAAGAAGTTGACTCAAATCTTAAGTACTATGAGTTCATTTCCTTATATAAAGAAAATAAAACTAACAATATTCTCTATTTTCCTATTAGCAGCCACTATTGTAATTTCATTTTTCTAAATTATAAAATAAAGTTCAAAATGCAGTTTAAAGTCTAGCTTGTATGTTAATTCTCAAGTAAATGTGCAACACTAAAGTTAGAAATATCAACATACAGAGAATACAAAACTTACATAGTATAATGTGATAAAGAAATAGCAGGAAAATATAACGCCATTGCACCTGGAGAAATAACTCTTCCTCACAATAAGGTGATGCCAAAGCTCTTTAACCTATATCTGGGTATGTTCAAATTCCAGTCTCATTAACTGCCTCTCCAATAGATTATTAGACAGTTAGAATACAAAATACAATTTAGCATGTATAAACTCCTAAACAGCTTGGTTTTATGTCAGCTCTTATCTTCTACCCATATTAAAAACTTCTAAGTTTTTAGCATCCTATCCTTCCCTTTTAGGTAGAATTCAGTGCTCTAAATAGAACTACCCAAGTAATTTCTCAATAAAACTACACGTGGTTAAAAATAAATTCTGCCAGGAATTTAAACATGGCAATATCAGGAAAACCCTTTATATTACTCTTTATTTAGCCTTAAATTATTATATGAACTACAATTGCCTTAAAGTACCATATAAGGGAGATAACAGATAGTCTTCTAAAAATATTCACAGTATTACAATTATGAACATGTATTTCTGAACTAATTTGAATTCAACTTACATCAACCTATGTAATTTTCTTGCTGACTTAATAATGTGTAGGTATCTATTAAAATTTCACAACTAACCCTGGTCAGTTTGGCTCAGCAGTTAGAGTGTCGGCCTGTGGACCAATGAGTCAAGGGCATACCCTTGATTTTGGTCAAGGGCATGAACCTTGGTTGCGGTTCCTCCCTGGCCCTGTCAGGTAGTGAAAGAGGCAACCAGTTGATGTGGCTCTAGCACGTGGATGTTTCTCTCTGCTTCTCTACCTCCCTCCCATTCTATCTGATAATAAATAGAAAAGTATCCTCAGGTGAGGATTTAAAAAAAAACATAACTCACTACTAACAAAATATCAAAGACCAAACATCTTGGTTTAAGTCACTAGGTGCAAGTTGACAAAATGGTAGGTCTTTAGTGGGCCTTAACTACACAGTTCAGTCTTCATGTCACAGGCAATAAACTCCTCAGTTTCCTTATATTTAATGCCTGGGCATTTAATCCAAGAAAACATTAATACTTTCTGTACACAAAAGTTCATAGCAGTTTTATTTGTAATAGCAAAATACCACACATTACCCAAATGTCTTTCGATAGATAATGGTTGAACAAACTATGGTACATCCATACAATGGCATACTATTCAGCAATAAGAAGGAATGCAACAACCTGGGGGTACTTCAAAAAACGTAAGCTTAGATCTTAGGAAACAACAGTATGATCAATTAAACACAGGGCACTGAAAGGATTAGGTAAATGTACTGATAAGGTAGGCTATTGATGGGACATTGCTTAGAGAAAAAAGGCAAGCTGCAGACTATGTACAATTTTTTTCTGTTTTATAAAAAGGGAATAATGTATGTATATAGTTATAAAAACATGAAAATGAGGAAGGATATATGCCAAATATTATTTATCTCTGGGGAGTAATTTGAAGAAAAGATTTTCATTCTTGTTACTTCTGTTCTGTTTGAGTTTTACTATCATAGTAAAAAAGAAAAATGGTTACTGCAGATTGGAATTTTTCATGCATGTTTGCTACACACTTCAGATGTACACAGAGTTACGTGAGACACTAGGTTAAGAGAGAACCATGCTTAGAATCTTAAGAGCTAGGCTTGAACCCATTTTCTCCAGGAAATGGTGTAACCGTGATTAAATCAAAACCTATAAGCTGCAGTTGCTTTATTTATAAATTGGGATAACAACATTGGACCACTATGAAGTGCAACTGATTTCATACATGTGACTACATCAAATGTACTGTGATACCTCTATAATTCTTACTAACAAGAGAGGTTAGTGTTTTAATTGCAACATCTCAATTGGTATAAAATACATACTCATTATTAGCTATCTGATTATCAAAGAGCTTTAAGATAACTGAAGTGGTTAAGATTTAAGGACAATGGGATTAATGTTTAATTACTTTTGTCCCGAGCCATGCTTGAATCCTAGAAGGGAACCGCTGTCATCAAGGTCTGAATCTGGGTTTTCATCGATGTCCAGTTCATGGCTAAACAAATAAACAAAAGGTGATAAGCCATTATCTCCAGAGCTCACCCATTCGGGCAAATATCAAAAGTACATATAGTCAACCTATGCACACCTTCCCATCACAACAATCAACCATAGTTCACAAACCCAGGAAGACAGGAAAAATAGTACTTTAATTAGGATTTTCCAAATGAGATAAAGTACCAAGCAGTGTTTGGAAAACAGTAATAAGCACTAAAACCTTAAACCCTATCAAATAATTATCTCTATTCCTGAACACAGTACAAATATAAACCTTTCCATTTTCCTTAAAAAACAAAACAAAAAACATTTAAAAGCTGCAGCCTTAAACTAATCTCCTAGAATGATATCTTCAGAAGTTTTTCTGAAAACAAAACAAGAAAACATTTGAAAAATATCGAGACCCAACCAAAAAAATTACAAAAGAAAAAAATATTTTTAAGAAGAATAAGGTTGTGATACAAGTGACATTAAGTAACCCAGGACCATTCATCTACTGGGGATGAATCTGATGCTCCCTACTACCTGGGCAATAAGAATAAATAAACGGAAATGATAAGAAATTATTCTTACAAGTGAAATTATGCTCACTGAACATTTATGGAGGACCTTACTAGGTTCCAGGAATATAAGTACATATACAATCTGCCTTCAGGAACTAGAAAGAATTAATGGAAGAGATAAAATGCAATTTCTATCACGTGGAAGAACCACAAGAGAGGCATGCTTTTATGCACTAAGCTGCTGAGCCTCTAAAGCTTGCTTACTGTTTTTCTAGAAGCTGTATGGAACATAAAAGTCTTATGTAGAGCTTTTCATATCCTGTCATAGAAATGAAATGTGTCCGGCTAACATCCAAATTCTGTAATGTCGTTCCTTTTCTTGTATTTTACAGCATTAGCATTTGACCATATTTAACCTGACATTATTCTCTACTTGTTTAATTACATGTATCAATGATACACTAGAAAGAGTACTGTCTTTGAAAGAGTTGGACTGGGCTCTAGCTTTAGAGCTGCCATTATTGCAGGTAAGGTATTTATCCTTCTTTTATCTTAGTATTCTTATCGATAGAATAAGAGCATTTGGTTTGATGCATCCAAGGTATATTTTTGCAATAAAATCCTGTGATTATTCCCAAACTTTTGGGAAAAAAATAGAATTTCCTCCAGAAAGATAGACTGTACCTACTTATGTATTACTAGTTTTAAAGCTACCATTCATTAATTGCCACCAAGTGTCATATTATACGTTAGTTCCAGTCTTCTCAATGATCTCACCAAAAAGGCATCAATTCCATTTTGTAGGTAAGAAATTGTGGCAGAACTGAAGAGGCAGAGTGGGGATTTGACCATGCTCCAAAGCCCAGGGTCTTGTCTCTTCTCCTCAGTGCTGTAATGTAACAAGCACTTGATAACTACTCACTCATGAACAGAATGTTTATGCTAACACATCGTGGAGAGAAAGGTAATGCGCAACTTGCCTCCTCTTGAGTTTGCTTGGCTTACATTCAGGCGGATCTTCCTCACTCTCATCTCCATCAGTCTTGCTGGGATGTGGTCCTTCTTTGATTGTGTTTGCTTCTGAAGACTTCTGTGGATCTAAAGAGAAAAATATTACTCTGGATTTCCCCCCTTGGTTTGACAACGCTTCTACCATTTTACAAAAGGCAATCAAAATATTTCAGTGGCTTTTCTGCAATGAACTGTACATGTACATAAAACAAAGTGCTAGACCACATCTACCTATTCTGTGTATCTACATGCAGGGTCTGAACATTAAAAAGAAAAAAAAAAAAGGAGCTATGTCTAGTAAGGTTTAAAAGTTTCCATGAGTTAGCTACTTAAAGGGTAAACTAAAACTACTTTTTCCTGACAGGTGTCCAACTCTAAACAAATTAATCCACAAAGTTATCTTTGTCATAGCTGTTAGCTATTGCATTTCAATGAAATTTTAATTAAAATGACTCTAAAGATGCCATGATCACAATGAGTACAAAGTTCTTTATTATTAAGAAGTAAATACATTTAATTGTCTCTAACATCTCTCTTGAAGTAATCATGGAAGTAACAAAGATAAACACCATCATTTAAAAAGAGTACTTTTTGCCTGGCTGGTGTGGCTCAGTGGTTGAGCGTCGACCCATGCACCAAGAAGTTGCTCGTTCAATTCCTGGTCAGAGCACATGCCCAGGTTGTGGGCCAAATCCACAGTGGGGGGCATGCAGGAGGCGGTCAATCGATGTTCTCTCTCATTGATGCTTCTATCTCTTTCTCCCTCTCCCTTCCTCTCTCTCTCTAAAATCAATAGAAAAAATAAAATAAAAAGAGTACTTTTAACTTGTGTGGCTCCAACTGAGGTACTTGTCTGTTCTTGTTCTCTATTTCTTCAGACTAGAACAAAGTAGGTGGGTGAGACTAGAAGTGGAGAGGAGTCTGCAATGTAGACAGTGGGAAATTCTGAATGTGTGGGGACAGTGTTTGAGGAGAACACCCAACCACAAACAGTACAAAATGTACTTACAGAGAAAGATATTTATGTTTTGATCTCAAGGGAGTATCTAAAACAAATCAAAATATAGAATTCTTACACTGATCCTGATGGCAGTCACACTGGAGCTAATTACAGAAATGGATAAGTATATGCATAACAGGGAACAGGCAATAGAAACAGTCAATTTATACATATAGCTTATGAAACAGGCAAGAGAAGGCAGACACTATGAAGTTTACTAGGTTTGACAAAGGAAAAAAGTAGGATAAAGGAGGATAATCAAAGGGAATAATACAGGGGTCAACACATTGACCAATATGCATTATTTCAAGTTTTCCTGTTAAAATAAGTTACAGAAAGTAATTAGGAGAGTATTGAAGAATATCAAAGACTAATATTAAATAATCACATAAAAAAGGATAACAGCAAAATAGAAAGGAATGAGAATATTGTACTGAAGTAAGCTCCATTATAAGAGTAAAGAGAAAAGAAATAAAGAAGTAGGTAGAGCTCTTTAGTAACTCTAAAGGAAACTCTCAGCTAGATGAGGATCAGTGACCTGAGATGAGCAAAGCAGGTCATATCTGAATAAGGATGAGAAGAAATCCCAATGAACCAGGTTTTTTTTCAGTACCAAACATCAAAGATGCCAAGATAACCCAAAGATTATAAAAATTTTCTACTCTCTCATTTTCCTGGTGCCATCAGTTAGTATAGTACCCTTCTCCGTAGCAAGAGCAATCATTTATCTACCTCACTCTAACGTTTCTTAACATACTTCTTTTTTTTAATCCTCACTCAAGGATATTTTTCTATTTTTCTTCAGATAGAGTGAGAGGGAGAGAGGAGAAAAGAGAGAGAGAGAGAAAGAGAAACAATGACATGAGAGGGACATAACAACTGGTTGCCTCCTGCATGACCCAGACCAAGGCCAGGAATGAACTGCAACCAAGGTACGTGACCTTGGTTGGAATCGAACCCGTGACTCATTGGTCTGCAGGCCAACACTCCATGGCTGAGCCAAACTAGCCAGGGCTTAACATACTTCTTACTGGCTTTCTTTAGTCCTGACAGTGGCACCACTCTGTATGATGATGATTTAAAAAAAAAAAAATCACTTAGGAGTCAAACAAGTTTCTTTCCTGGATATTTTATGAGAATCCTGCAATCGACCCTTCCAGTTATAAATGAATCATGCCCTGTTCAGATTCTCTTTGTAGCAAGACTCACTTGTCCTAACTGAATTTCAGATATGACTCTCATTCAGATTTGCCTAACATCAAACATATGCTCTCAGCTACTCTTTAACATGTCTGCTATACACACATTTGTTCTCGAGAAACCTGGACATTCCAAGCTCATTCTAAATTGGAGTTCTAATTTATCAGAAAGTGATTTCCAAATTTTAATTCACTGACCACTAAGATATAAGAGGAAGGAATGATACTCTTGAGAACTCTGTGCAAATATTTTTTTTTATTATATAAAAGGGCAATAAGTAACTAGTGATATAAAAACAAGATGAATTGAATAATTTCGTTACACTATAAAATGTAGCTGGCACTACTTAATTCTACCATAAAGGATTAGTATTAGTTATTTTGCTAAACAGATTCACTTAGTTAACCATTACTTAGTCGGATTAATCTTGGTCAATCTTACCCTGAGCTGGTTGGTTTGCACTTCTGTTCCCGGACAAGTTGCTTTCCTTGGTTCCTCCATTACAAGGTTCGCTTTGGCCAGAAGCAGGACATTCTCTTCTGCTTTTAACTTCACTTAGCCACTGATGTCCATCAGAACTTACAGACGACTCTAATTGGCTCTCTCCTACTTTCCCTGAATTCAGACTTATATTAGTAATACCTTCAAGTAGTTCTTTATCACTTGAACTAGAGCTTTTACTACCAATTGATGAAGATGGAAAAGAAAGTAAGTCTGCTTTCATGCAATTGTCATCTTTTTCGCTGTTAACCTCTGTTTTAGACCCACACATACTCGTTTCACAGCTTTGCGAGGCATCAAATATCCAACCCTGAGCTTCCCAATATTGAAATTGTTCCAAATAATACCAATAAAGTTGACTATAATGTTGTTCCCATTCTTCTTTGGTATCAGGAACGTTCCAAGGTTCAGAACATAGTGTTTGATCTGAATGTTTTTCTTGCCAGCTTTGCCATAATAGTCCTCCACCATATTCATTCCAGTACTTTTCCCATTTCTCCGTAATTTCTAGCTTTGGAGATAATGTATTTTCAACAGAAAGGTTTTTAGTTTCAATGTCTTTCATGGATTTACGTTTACATGTTCTGATGTTCTCAGATTGTTCAACTGAAGATGGATCATCTGAGGCCCAAATGTCATCTTCTTCATATTCTTGTCTCCAAACTTCTCTCATAATCTCATCTAAGTACTTCTTTTGATGTTTTTTCTTTTTCTTTTTTATTTTAACCTTATTTCTAGTATTCATAGACACCTGCATAAGGTAAATAACTTGAATATAAAATCTATTTCATAAACTAAAAGAGAAAGTAGAACTCAAGTCTATTTTGCCATTAAATTAAACAAAATACCCTCAATGCCTCCCCCCCCCCTCGGGCTTTTAGTTACACAAACAAGTGAATCTTACTATCTAAGTTTCCAAGAGAAGAAAAAAAGTCACGTGGTACACACACATCACAACTTACAGTTTTGGTTACTTACAGTTTTGGTTAATTTATAAATACACTAATTAAAAAAGAGGGGGCATGATCTAATGAATGCATTAGATTTGAGAATAAAAAAATTCCATGTGATTTCACAAAGAAAACTAATAAAAAGAAATAATAAAAGTAAATTAACACTTACCTCAAAATTCTTATGTGCAGAGAGCCCACCAAACTGAAGTGGCAGTCCCATACTTCTCATGAGTTCAGCCTCAGAATCAAGTTCACTTTCATTTAGGCCTATGCCTTTGCTATCACATGATTCTTTATTGCCATGGGAATTATCACCTTCCTCCTCTTCTGTAGCTTGGTCTCCTACAGATAGCATTTGTTAGCTTAGTTTAGAAAAAATTTAAATGTAGGTTTTATCAACATTTTAATGAAGAAAACCTGAGAACCAGAGTTATGACATGCCTTGCCCAAAGGTGTATAAATGTTACAATCTTTAAGGGGGGAAAAAAAAAAGAGGTAACTGATGGTAATATGGAGTAATAAAAAATGGCCAAACAAGAATCCAGACACAATTTCTAGTCTGGATCTGCCTGCCACTATCCATCTAGCTGCCCATTCAACTTACACTTACTAGCCTCTCCTCTGTGCTGGGCACTGTGAAAAGTACTGAGGATGTAAGAAGGAACACAGTAGAGTAACCATAAGGCAAGTATTTACATTTTCATATTAATTATCTGCAATACTGCTGCATTAGAGCAGTGGATTTAAAATGATTTGTGGAGTTAATTTAGCAGCTGGTAATAAGAGAGGTGAGAGGTTAGTCTTCAGGCTCCTCATGGGTACTTCAATCACAACTGGATTTATACCGTGGAACTCTATGGGAGAGATGATTTAATGAAAGAGTTCTACTATTAAAAAAAAGTTTGAAATCCACTGAACTAGAAGATCCTTTCATGCGCCCAAATTCGAGTTCTTACAGAGAACCTGTTTTATTATAACAAGTTTTACTTTATCCTAATATGGTTATGTAAGTAGATCATACCACTATTTTGCAAATGCTATTCAAATGCTCTATTAACCAATTAAATGTGAGATAAAAATCACTTTATATATTAGCATACTCAATTAGGGCTGAGCTGCACTCCAGCTAAATGATCTTAGGCAATAGAACGCTGAATCTTACATAGAAAAAAATGGAGTATGAAAAAAGAGAAATCTTATGTGTGCAAATTCTACTAAAAAAAAAAAGGAAAAAAGGATATTGATTTAAATACTAAAGGGGATTCCATTCACCATTTCATTCAATGAATTTATGAAAGCTCAGAAAAGAGCAAAACAGAAAAAAGAATCAACTAAGTTTTAAGTTCCTCTCATGGAATGCATATGTTATGTTCCATGAGAGTCTAGTTAGAGAAATCTTATTTGTACTACATAACTGAAAAACAAACCACACATTTCATCCAGGGCACAACTAAAGTATTTTACAATGGTTCAACCATTGTAAAAATTAATATGACACGCTACATGTTCTGGATTGAGCCTATAACTTACGCCGCAGTTTTCCCCATGTCTAAAGAAACATAGAAGACCTGTGTGGAAAGGACAATGGGGTCCAGATAGGGAAATGTGAGAGAGACCAAGTTTTCAGGTAGCTAGGCAAGGCTCAAAGTATAAAACAAATCCTATTTGTTACTTTGGGAAAGTTAACCTGATTGTGGCCCTTTTACTTCAGGCAAAAAGACTATGGATGTTCACTTGGAATTTATCCTTAATCATTTATCTATATGATTGTTAAAATATTTAAACAAGGAGGCCATTAGATTGAGATGGCTGTAATGCCTTGGTAGCCCACCCAAACAGATCCAAATCTAAGCCAGAGTCAATGCCTTAGAACCACAGAAAATGTAAGAACAATGAATCACAGTCAGCTAAGCTTTCCCATTTAAGACAACTTCTTAACGTATGGCCAATTAAATGATTTCCTTGTTCTCCTCTATAAATACGCCTCTCCTAGTTGTTTGCAGAGTGTTCCTAACCACCTTTGCTTTGGTGCTGCCCAATATGAATCAATGTATGCTCAAATTAACTCTCAACCCTGTTTACCTTTTAAAACAATAAAATTTTGCTTTAGGAACAATGTTTTCTATTTTTCAAAGCTTTAAATTTCAGGTTGCTTTTTTCTAATGGTAATATGCAGAAGGGAAAGCCACACAGGCAAAAGAGGCTACCTCAAGTCCATATAGGAGCTTGTTATAGGAAAAAATTTCTGCTTTGATAGGGATTCTAGAACCATGCTATAATAAAAAAATAAGGACTGCCTAGGATTACAGAATTTTTTGCCACATAATATTTTATGCTAAGAAATATAGTATTATAACAAATTATAGTTAATGCAATATTATGGTTAATTTTAGCAAAAAAAGTTACATATTTTATACTGTATTACCTGAATTATTGCCATTGCCTTTAACATAGTAGCCTTTTAATCCCAAATTGCATAGTTTTCGATCTCTGTGAAGCAAATTAAACAGTCAATATTGAAAAAAATTAAATCATAAATTTAGAGGAAAAACAAGTTCAGGCAGCAGAGATTAGTTAATAAAAAGGTTAAGGAACAGAAAAACAATCTGCTAATACATTTTCCCCATCTGTAATACAAAAGTAATAATACATACCTCATGGGGTTGTCATAAGGAACGAAAGTATCTGTAAAACATTTAGTATACACCCCGTGGCAAGCATTTATTCTTATAACCACTAATTATTAAAATTTCTGGATATTGGGGGAAGAATCTAATCCTCCTTATGACGCACAAACAATAAAATGCTCTCTAAAGTTGCTGTAAAAGGGAAGCATAGAAATGGAAAGATTTATCTAACATATATAAACCCCACATGCAAACCCTACTCCATGTGCAAATAGGCCAAATTATTTATTGCCTAATAGACAAGATATTCATGTTCTGAGCAAAGGTTGTTTTGGAGACTAACATAAAATGGGAGTTCTTATTCAAATATTTTATCAAACTGAAACATAAATCAAGATTTCTCAATGACTTTTAAAAACAGCAAATAGTTCAACTTTTCTTTACCTACTAAGACTAAAAATTACATAACCCAAATAAACTTAACAGAACACTTTAAAAGGGAAGGAGGGGGACTTTTACTATTATTATCATCCTAGCAGTAAATTCTGCTGTAATAAATTCCATTATGACTGCCATATAATAAGGCCATCTGCAAGTTATAATACTACTTTTCTAATGAAGCTACAATAGGTTCAACAAAATAAAATTCTTGTGTACTTCAAATAGTATTTCATCTCCTCCTGTTTATTTTTTGATACTTTATAAAACAGGCAGTGACTCACAGTGGGACAGTGAACAGAGGGGAGGGAATAAAGTGCAAATGTGCTTTGGTAGCATGACCACTGGCCCCCAAGAACACAGGACACTGGCGGGTGGGTGGAATGACAGCCACAAAGAGGACATCCATGGTGTGCTGGAAATGCTACTTCCTGAAAAAAATCTCTGAGATCTGTGGAGAACATTAGGTTTTTGCTATCACAGTATCCTGTACTTCTCTCCCATAGCACTTATAACTTTAATTAACCAAATCATTATGTAACAGTGGTCTTAATATTGACCTCTTTTGCCAGTCAATGAAATCAAAATGTCTAAGGACGGGCTGTGTCTTGTGCCCCAATGCCTACAATCACCTAATACAAAGGAGTGCAAAAAGCATTCGTTGAATGAATACAAAGATGACAATACTTCTTACATTCAACAACACAGTTTTCCATTTTTTTCGTATTAATTTTCTGATTACTCCACAAAAACATGATGAACAGTAAAAATTCCTACAAACTGAAACTCTGCTACATTAAACTATATTAAAAGCCTCTCCCATGAAATTCACTCCCATGAGCTGAATCGAGCAATAAGCCTGTGAGGTGATTATGGTAAACATGCCTGTTTTAGAGATGAACTCACACATCCAGTATAAAGAAAACCATCCCTGGAAGCCAATTCTGGAGGCATTTCCCCCCCACCCACTAGCTACCTGACAGGCAGGTAAGTTTTTCCCCAAGCAACTATTTTCCAATAATAAAAGAAAGCTCAAAAACGGATGTAATTATAGTTAAATCTCACAAGTTCTATTTATGTGAATTGGTGCTTTAATAAATCGTTAGTTTTTTAAAAAGTCTTGTTAACCAAAACAAGTCAGTCCCCTTTAAATCTTGACCTTGCAACGTCACATCCACGAATGAGATTTCACTTTCCCCCAATTTTAAAATGTGTCCTCAATTTACAAATATAAATGCCATACATCCGCTACCACGTTGTTTCCTAACAGCCTACAAAGCAAATTTACTCCTGCACTACATGGCAGAAGGCCAGCACTCCGACAAGTGTGAGGACTTTTTCCCTCTTTACTATCACCTTGCCCAAGAGAAAATACTCCGGCCCTGGTCCCAGGGATCCATGGAAACAGTCTGCACCACCTCTGTCTCTGGGAAATGACCGTGCAAAGGAAGAGCAAAGTTTTCACTTACTCTACAAATGCCCTGGAGCAGAGGCAAAGGATCTTACAATCCTCCTCCAGGTCTTCAATGAAGAGAAACATTTCGGCAACGTGGCTCCACTTCTCGCAGCACATTTTACCGCCTCCGAGGAGGCAGCCCTGCGGCACACGGAGCGGGAGCGGGAGCGGGCTCCCCGGCTTCGGCCGGGCTCCTGAGACCGAAAGGAGGCCTCGCCGGCGCGCCCTTGGCGTGAGGGTCTGGAACCGCCCGGGCCGCTCCAAGCCGCAGCGAGGTGCGCACAGCGGAGCCAGGGAGGAAGCCGCTACCGGAAGTGGCACCGGGAAGCCACAGGAAGGGGTGGGGCGACGGGCGGTGTCACACTTAAAACCGCCGTGGTCGTAGCTGCTTTTTGGCGTTCTCACAGGGCTACTCGCGGGAAATCCGCCGCTCAAATTTTTCTGCTTCCCTTGGCTGCTGAGCTACGAAGAGCTGCCGCTACTGTTTGAGGGTGAGGGCGAGCCGCCTTTTCCCTCTCCCGCCCGAGGTGCGTCGGTCTCCGCCTCGGTCTCCCCGTGCTGCTCGGAGCCCGGAGCCCGGGGGCGCGTCAGTCTCGCGAGGCTGCGCGCCGCCAAGGCCGCGCGTCCGGTCTCCCGGGGGCAGCCTCGCGCCCCAGGCTGGGACTCCCGGGCGGGTTCCGCCGGACTGGCTTTCGGCTCGGGCACTGGCGTGGTCGTGAGGGGAGGTCCTGCCTGGGTCACGGCGAACCCGTCACTTCGGCCCGCATCTCCCCTAGCGCTCAAAACCCCCCAGTTCGGCGTGTTTCGCTTCCTAGTGGTGGGAAGAGGCGTCTCCAGTTTCGTTAGAGGCCCCTGGGCTTGCCCAGTGACTGCTCTGATTCTGGGCTCCGAACCGACCCGCTGTGGCGACCGGAGGTAGTCGGAGGCCGCACGGTGCTGGTTAGGAGGGCTCGCCTTCGACCTGTCGGGCTTGGAAGCCTGGTTTGTGCCCCTCAAGCTCCGTGTGACCCGGGCAAGCGACTTAAACCTTTTTTTTTTTTTTGAGCCTCATTTGTGATCATTGTAAAATAGGCATGACTAATAGTACCTGCTTCCTTGGGCTGCTGAAAGGACTAAATGAAAGCATAAATGAAAGGACTACATCAGATCTGTCACATGTGATATTAAGAGTTTGAGTGGGTACATACATAGTACAGCGCCGGCCACTGCCTGGGTCCCTCGGGTTTGCACCTCGTAAAACAAGTCTCTGCCCTCATGCTGCTGATGAATGAGAAAAATGCAAAGTGTGCGTAATCAGGATGTCAAAAACTGGAACACCGCCGCTAGTTTTGGGAAAAGCAGTGTGTGTCTGGTGTGGGGTGTTAGTTGAGACTGCCCAGGCTGCTTCCTCAAGGAAGCATGTGGGGACTTGAAGGTGGTTGGAGCACTTAGGATTTGGTCTGTGCTATTAATGCCCAGGTGGCTTTGAGATTTCTTTAGCACAGCGATTTTCATCCCATGTGCTCCAAGAATTTGTAAACATACAATACCTGACTATTTAGTCGGGTGCACTCACCTCTTTGCCCATAGATTGTGAAATTAAAAAACAACAACAAAAGAACAGCAGCAAACAACAATAGCCGTAGAGTGTGAATGAATCAAAATTATACCTATGATACCTGTTTTGTTGTTGTTGTTAGATTGGCAAAAAATACAATTTTTGGTTGTACTACGGAATTTAGTAGCTAACGTGTACCATGAGATGAAAATGATTGAAAATTGCTGCTTTAGAAGATAGAAAAACCGAGGTAAAATTCATTTAGAACATCGGTAATATTTTGATTGCATTTACTTGTGAGTGTAAAGAGAAGATTCATTTTCAAATGAAATGTTTATTCCCACATCCTTACTGCTGCCTTATTTTGATGTTAGAGATGATTATTTTAATGATTCAGGGAGGTAAGTTACAGATACAGAGAAACCAGTGTAGATGTGCAATATTTTTGGGATGAGGTTAGATTAAAAAAATAAGGGTAGAACAGTAATTATCAAGTAGAGTGGGAAAACACCTTTAAAGGTCACTCTTACCAGAACCTATAGTTTGGAACTTGAAATGTAAAAGGTAATGTTTTAAAGATAAAATGATTGGCTTTGCCAGAAATCTTAACTGAAATGTTAGCTAACCTTTAGCTTTATTGATTGTTTGACATAGAATGCTTATTCACTAAAACTGAACACTGAATGCTTGTTAAGCCATTGTTAAATATTCAGAGGAAAAGGGAAAATTTATATTTCACTGGGTGTTTCTTTTAACTGGCATTTTCAGCCTATCTTCAATGTGACTCATATACTAAAAGTAAGAAATGAATTTGTTACCATCCGTGAGTGTTTAAAAATAGATATATTTCCTTATGTTTTTGTAGAAAACAAACAAAAAAATCCTCTGTTTTGATTTATTAGTTTTTTAAATATTTTTATTTTATTATTTTTTTAAAGCAATTCATTACTACTTTTAAATTCTTATTTATTGATTTTAGAGAGAGAGGACGGGGGAAGAGAGAGAGAGAGAGACATCAGTTTGTTGTTCCACATATTTATGCATTTATTGGTTGATTCTTGTTTGTGCCCTGACTGGGGATCAGATCTGCAACCTTGGCTCATTGGGACGATGTTCTAACATACTCAGCTAACCTGTCAGGGCCAATATTCTGATTGTAAACATCTATATAGTAAATGTTCCTCACCATCAATATCAACATTGGTGATATTTCAGCTTGTCTCTATTTCTTACAAGTTACATTAATTACAGATGGGAAATTAAGGTACTTTATATGTGTGCATGGGACTATATTTTATTGTAGATATTTTTCTGATACGAAATACAGTCATCCCTTGCCACTTCGTGATAGAGTGAAGCTGCAAAAGTCCAGGCGTGAAGTGGCAAGGGATGACTGTAGAGTAAATAGAGAATCCTACTTCGCAGAAATTCATTTATTGTGGTAGAGTCTGGAACTGATTAACCGCGATAAATGAGGGCCGACTGTAACCTGAAATTTTGGCATCTAAAATATATCTGCCCCCTCAAACATCTCTTAACAATTATAGTTTTGATTCGATTAAAATAAAATGGCAGTTCGGCTGGTGTGGCTCAGTGGTTGAGCATCAACCCATGCACCGAGAGGTCTCCAGTTGATTCCTGGTGAGGACACATGCCCAGGTTGTGGGCTGGATCCCAAGGTGGAGGCATTCAGGAGGTGGCCAATCAATGTTCTCTCATTAGTATTTCTGTCTCTCTCTCCCACTCACTTCCTCTCTCTCTCAAATCAATAAAGGAAAAAAAATGAATAAAATGGCAAAAAATCATATACAGTCTCTGATAAATTGGAGGGAGAGAAGGGCTAGGCAGAAGTAGAAGGAAGACAGAAATTGCAATCTTAATACTTTCAGCCCAACTGTCAGAGAGCAAGATTAAAGAAAGTGTAATGAAAACCAGAGTAGGAAGTAGAACTTCATTTTAATATTGGCTCTTGGTTCTTCACTGAATTCATGTAGTAATTTTGGGCAAGTAAACTGGGCTTTCTGTTTTGGATCTGTTTTTGGCAAAATTAAGAGGTTGCATTCATTGAGTTCTAAAACCATTTTCTCATATTATCAAAAGTAAAGTATTTTGCGTGGCCTGTGTGACTCAGTGGTTGAGCGTCGACCCATGCACCAACAGGTCACCAGTTCGATTCTTGGTCAGAACACATGCCCAGGTTGTGGGCCAAATCCCCAGTGGGGGCATTCAGGAGGCGGCCATTGGATGTTCCCTCTTATCAGTGTTTTTATCTCTCTCTCTCTCTCTCTCTCTCCCTCTCTAAAATCAGTAAAGGAAAAAAAAAATTAAAAAATTTTTTTTTCTATTGAGGTATAATTCATGTAATATTCACAAATTTAAAATGTACACCCCAGTGATTTTTAGTATATTGACAGGGTTTTACAATCATCACCATTATCTAATTCGGAACGTTTTCATTATCTCCAGAAGACACCTCTGTTTCTATTAGCAGTCCCTTCTCATTACTCTCTCCCCAAGTACCTGGTAAACAACCACTAATCTTTCTGTCTCTGTGGATTAGCCTGTTCTGGTTATTTCATACAACTGGAATTATACAAAATGTGATCTTTAGTGTCTGTCTGTCTGTTTTTTTTACTTAGTCTCATGTTATCAAGGTGGATGCATATTGTTGCATGAGCAGTACTTTATTTCTTTTTATGTATGAATAATATTCTGTTACATGGTATAGCTCATTTTATTTATCCACTTGTCAGTTGATGGACACTTGGTTTATTTCCACTTTTTGGCTGTTAGAAATGATGCTGCTGTCAACATTCATATACAGATTTTTGTGTAAATATGTTTTCAGTCCTCTTGGATGTATATGTAGGAGTAGAATTTCTGAGTCATATGATAACTCTTTGGTAATTAGGGTTTTTGAGGAGCTGCCAAACTGATTCCCACAGTGGCTGCACCATTTACATTCCCACCAGCAATGTGTGAAGGTTCTAATTCTCCATATCATCATCAACTTATTTTCCTTTTAAAAAAATAAATTATGGTCATTCTAGTTGGAAAAGCTCTAATTTAAAAAAATAATAAGTTTTTCTGTGTTGCATTCTAAATGATCAAACACTGGTAAGTTATAGTGATTTGATTCTTTAGATGGGTTGATTTGAATGTGATGTAAATAAAGCCCAGTGTTTGGTTTTTAATTTTTTTACTTACTGATTTTTAGAGAGAGAGAGAGAGAAACATCGATTAGTTGTTCCATTTATTTATGCATTTACTACATTTATTAATTGTTTCTTGTATGTGCCCTGACCAGGGATCAAGCCCACAATCTTGGAGTATTGGGACAATGCTCTAACCAACCAACTGAGCTACCGGGCCAGGGCAAGCCCAGTCTTAATGTGTGCTGTGTTTACTTCTATTACCATAATAGGCCCAGATTTCTCACATATAAATGCTTACAAGGAAATTAGACTAAGTCCTCCATCTAGGAAGAACAAGTCAAAGTACCTGCCCTGCTAATAAGACAGCAAGATAATCTTGGCATAAAGACAATGTATAATTGCTTTTGTATTTCTCTCTCCCCTATCTCTTTCTTTTATTTATTTCC